GGAACGAATGATTATCTAGCGTGAGGGTACAACCTATGTAGATCTTGTTAGAACTTTCTGTCTTTCCGTTAGCTATTTCTACGACGAAGGTTTCTTTTAACGGTTGTGAGTATTGTTTAAGTAAATGTTTAAAGTTTTGGTTTATGAAGCTTCTTTCGGCTCCACTATCGAATAGGATACAATCATAAGAGTTATTGAGAAGGAACGTACCGTGACTACTGTGGGGTCTGCTACTGCTTCATTGTGGCCAATAGCAAGTAGTCTCCCTGTTCCTCCCGCATTCCCAGCCTTCGGGCAATTTCTTTTGAAGTGCCCTGTCTCGCTACAGCAATAACAGGCTTGACTCACTCCGGTATTGGGAATTTGATTGATAGGTTTGGGTTGAGACCTGCAAAACCGAGCAGTATGGCCCTTTTGGTCGCATTTAGTGCAGTGCATTTCACGGTAGGGGCCGTGATGATGAAAGAGCACTTGGTGCACTTGGGTAGGTTTCCAACATATGTTTTGGCTGGTACAGGAGCAGCAGGAGTAGTAGCAGCATGGACAACCACCGTCTGTTGATTTTTGGAAGATGATTGAGTTGACTTGCCCTTCTTTCGGTCCCACCGTTTCCTCTTGTTATCGGTTGACTTGGTTGGTGCAGTGTCAACCGTTGTGGTTGTTGATGGAGTGGATGGAACTTCATGATCAATCAACCTTTGAGCCAATTCCTTGGCACTGTCAAAGGTCGTCGGGTGTGATGATAGAACATTCCCTCGATACGGGGGCATTAGACCCAAGATGTATCGTTTAATTTTCTTGCTTTTAGTAGGGATCATGTTAGGACACATAATTGCCAAGTCGCAGAACCTAGCTGTATAAGCTGTTATGTCGGTCCCCTTCATCTTGAGGTTCCAGAGTTCTTCCTCTACTTTTTGAATTTCACCCCTAGGGCGGTACTCCCTTCTTAGAAGGTCCTTCAGTGTGTCCCAGCCCATGGCGTTGGCTGTTACCAAAGTGAGTGAGTTGACATGGCCGTTCCACTATGTCAGGGCCCTTTCCGTAAAGGTGGCAGCAACGAATTTTATCTTACTTTCCTCGGGGCAAGAGCACATTTCAAAGACTGCTTCAGTTCTTTCGAACCATTGGGACAATGCAAGAATTCCTCTGGTCCCATTGAAGAATGTTGGTTTGCAGTTCATGAAGTCCTTATACGTACATCCCTGTGTTCATTGGTGGACTTTTACCATGTCTAGAGTTGTCGCACATTCCAGCTCCACTTGCATCACCAGAGTTCATTTGAGCCATAGTTGCTGTTACAGCTGCGGTTATGGCTGCTTGAAACATTACCGCATCGAACTGCGGAGGAGGTGGTGGTGGAGGTGGAGTTTGAGTCGCAAGTCTGCCTCTGTTCGGGCGCTTACAAGGAGGCATATTTTGCTGGAAATTTATAAAGATGATGATAATAGTAAGAATCGATTGTAATCTTGATGAGAGAATTTCACAGATCATACTGACATAGTCCAAATATCAAACAGATTCATAGCAACAGAGTAGGAAAACATGAAAACACGAAACTATAGGCTTTCCCCACAAAGTAGATAACTGCCAATATTACTGGTATTAATGATGTAAAATGAGTTCAGGAAAATGTCCTAACAGTAGGTCTTACATCAAACCATAAGGGAAAATGTTGGCAGCCTAGGAGTCTAGTTAGAGTACTTTCAGAGTTAGGAATGTTTACAGACAAGTGATCTATTGAGCATAGAAAAGGAAAGGCTAGTCCTTAAACAAAAGAGAAAGATAAGTTGACATCTTCTAATGGCGACGGGTACCCATTTAGCGAACCCTCGGATCAGCTAGTTGGCGTACAACTTCCTGAAGATGTCGTTCATGAGTTCTTTGGCATGCTCGGAGTTCTCTAACTTCAGCTCGGGATGCAGCTAGCTGTTGCTGCAGAGCCACATTGGTCCTCCTAGTCCTATCCATGGCTTCTTCCAGTTGGCGGATGCGAACAGTGTTAACGTTAGAGTTGGCATCAACTTCCACAATTCTGCCAATGGCTGCTTGACCTTGTTCGACGTTCCTGGCAATCCTACGGACCATGATGGGCAAGACTCGATCCGCTGATCCTCCCTCACTTATGTTGTAGAAGTTTCGGTCTCCGTTGAAAGGTAAAGGCTGACCCTGCTCATCACTCCATCGGTTCAAGGTTGTTGCCCACATGGGAGTGGGATCCTGAAATGCTGGACGGGGGTTAGGGTTTGGAGCTACTGGAGGTAGGTTGTTGACTTCGGGTTCGGAGTCGGAGCTATCTGAAAAGCCTTCTGCACGATGATCATCCAAAGGGATCAGGTGATCATCTTCTGGCTCCTCATCGAGCCATCCTCCATTTCCTTAGTTTGGATAGTACGGATCGTCGGGAAGGTGGAAGCCAGCCATGCTATCTACACGAGAAATGGGAAAGGATAGTTAATAGACGTTCTAATCTAAGATACTTATAAGATGATCGTCATGAGTTAGGCTAATACTTGCATAGTGCATACTAATTACATGTGACTGAGGCATAATAGAACGTCAAATAAGTGACCCTAACTCTAAATCCACAACCAAACAAGGAACAAGAAGTAAAGAAAAGATCCCAGATTCTAAGTCTATAATGCCTTAATCACATGCAACCGTAAAGTATCCACTTAGCAACTATTGCTCCATTAGTAACGACCCTTTTAGTTCTCACAGATGAAAGTTATAGAATTACAGAATAATCCTATAGTATCCTTGTTCTAATGTTCTTGTAGTAGTG